AAGCAATAGCAATAAACTGAACGATCATTATGCTAAGCTAACGGATGGGTTTTGTCCATCACATCATTCTCCTAATGATGTGATCCCGTTATCAAATGACAACTCATGTCCATGCTTAGAAAACCTTAACCATCTTTGATCAACGAGCTAGTCAAGTAGAGGCTCACCAGGGACACGTTGTTTGTTTATGTATTCACACATGTATTAAGGTTTCCGATCAATAAAATTCTAGCATGAATAATAAACCTTTATAATAAATAAGGAAATATAAAATAAAAACTTTATTATTGCCTCTAGGGCATATTTCCTTCATTAACAGTATTCAAGAAGGGTCTACCAAATATAATGCGACAAAACTCATCTTGTGGGGAACCAAGAACAAGAAAATCAGTAGGGTATTTAATTTTCCCACACAAGACTTCAACATTTCTAACTATCCCGGTTGGTGATATAGTATCTCTATTGGCAAGCTTAATAGTAACATTAATATCTTCTATCTCAGCAGGTGCAATATCATTCATAATTTCTTGGTATAAGGTATAAGGTATTGCACTCACACTAGCACCAACATCACATAAGCCATGATAACAATGATCTCCTATTTTAACATAAGAAAGCATGCCAACAATAGGTCTATGTCTATCTTTAACATTAGGTTTAGCAATCCTAATAGCTTCATCACAGAAAAAAATAACATGCCCATCAATGTTATCAACCAAGAGATCTTTAACCATATAAATACTAGGTTCAACTTTAATTTGCCCAGGGGGTGTAGGTGTTCTAGTATAACTCTTACGAACCACAGTTGAAGTTCTAGCATGATCCTTTATTCTAACAAGAAAAGGTGGTTTCTCAATATAAGCAGTGGGAACAATAGGATCAACATTATAAGTAATAGTTTCTTCTTCAACTTTAATAGGTTCTACTACTTTCACTTCAATGGGAGGATGATATTTAAACCACTTATCCTTAGGGAGATCAACATGAGTAGCAAATGATTCACAGAAAGAAGCTACTATCTCAGAGTCAAGTCCATATTTAGTGCTAAAATCATGAAAGGCATCGGTATTCATAAAAGATTTAACACAATCAAATTTAAGGTTTATACCTGACTCCTTACCTTCGTTGAGTTCCAAATCTTCAGAGTTGCGTTTAATTCTTTCCAATAAATCCAATTTGAATTCAATATCCTTCTTCATAAAATAACCAGTACAAGAAGTATCGAGCATGGATCGATCATTATGAGAAAGCCGAGCATAAAAATTCTGAATAGTAATTTCTCTTGAAAGCTCATGATTGGGGCATGAATATAACATTGACTTAATCCTCCCCAAGCTTGAGCGATACTTTCTCCTTCATGAGGCCAAAAATTATATATATAATTCTGATACCGATGAACCAGATGCATAGGATAAAACTTCTGATGAAATTTCAATTTCAATCGGTTGTAGTTCCATGATCCAATATCGTCACATAGCCTATACCATGTCAATGCCTTTCCCTTCAAAGATAAAAGGGAAGACCTTCTTGTTGACATCATCCTCGGGCACACCTGCAAGCTTAAATAATCCACAAACTTCATCCACATAGATTAGGTGCATATCAGGATGTAATGTTACATCTCCTGCATAAGGATTAGCTAGCAGTTTCTCTAACATAACCGAAGGAATTTCATAATAAATATTTTCAGTAGGTGCGGTAGGTTGAGGAGCAACTCTTTGCTCTTCCGGTCGATGTGAAGATACCCCGAACAAGCCCCTCAAAGGATTATTTTCCATAGTAACAATTGACAGTAAATTTCAGCACACTATATAAATGTTTCCTTACCAAAATCCACTTACCAAAGGCGCTTCACTCCCTAGCAACGGCGTCAGAAAAGAATCTTGATGACCCACAAGTATAGGGGATCTATCGTAGTCCTTTCGATAAGTAAGAGTGTCGAACCCAATGTGGTGCAGAAGGAAATGACAAATAGTTTTCAGCAAGGTATTCTCTGCAAGCACTAAAATTATCGGTAACAGATAGTTGTGTGATAAGATAATTCATAATGACTAACAAGTAACAAAAGTAACTAAGGTGCAACAAGGTGGCCAATCCTTCTTGTAGCAAAGGACAAGCCTGGGTGAACTCTTATATAAAGCAAAGCGCTCCCGAGGACATATGGGAATTACTGTCAAGCTAGTTTTCATCATGCTCATATGATTCGCGTTCGTTACTTTGATAATTTGATATGTGGGTGGACCGGTGCTTGGGTGCTGCCCTTCCTTGGACAAACCTCCCACTTATGATTAAGCCCTCTCACAAGCATCCACAACTATGAAAGAAGAATTAAGATAAATCTAACCATATCATTAAACATGTGGATCCAAATCAGCCCCTTACGAAGCACCGCATAAACTAGGGTTTAACCTTATGTCACTCTAGCAACCCATCATCTACTTATTACTTCCCAATGTCTTCCCCTAGGCCCAAAACATGGTGAAGTGTCATGTAGTCGACGTTCACATAACATCACTAGAGGAGAGAAAACATACATCTCATCCAAATATCCAACGAATACAAAATTCACATGATTACTTATAGCAAGACTTCTCTCATGTCCTCAGGAACAAACATAACTACTCACAAAGCATATTCATGTTCATAATCAGAGGATTATTAATTATCATTAAGGATGTGAACATATGATCTTCCACCGAATAAACTAACTAGCATCAACTACAAGGAGTAATCAACACCACTAGCAACCCACAAGTACCAATATGAGGTTTTGAGATAGAGATCGGATACAAGAGATGAACTAGGGTTTGAGAGGAGATGGTGCTGGTGAAGATGTTGATGGAGATTTGACCCCCTCTCGATGAGAGGATCGTTGGTGATGACGATTGCTTCGATTTCGCCCTCCCGGAGGGAAATTTCCTCGGCAGAACAGCTCCGCCAGAGCCCTAGATTGGTTCTGCCCAGGTTCCGCCTCAAGACGGCGATGCTTCTCCCGAAAGCTTTCTTCTGATTTTTTCCAGGTCAAAACACACCATATAGTAGAATATGGGCATCGAGGGCGTGCCAGGTGGCCCACAAGGCAGGGGCGCGCCCAGGGGTAGGGCGCGCCCCCATCCTTGTGGATGGTAGGTGGCCCCCTCTGGTGTTTTCTTCGCCCAATATTTTTTATTAATTTCAAAATGACTCTCCGTGAAGTTTCATGACTTTTGGAGCTGTGCAGAATAAGTCTATAATATTTGCTCCTTTTCCAGCCCAGAATTCCAGTTGCCGGCGTTCTCCCTCTTCATGTAAACCTTATAAAATAAGAGAGAAATGACATAAGTATTGTGCTATAATGTGTAATAACAGCCCATAATGCAATAAATATCAATATAAAAGCATGATGCAAAATGGATGTATCAATGGCCGAGCAGCAGGCCATCCTGGAGTCCATCCAGGATGAGGCCTATGTGGAGGCCAATCGAGCGTTCCTCCTGCGGCGGCAGGCGAAGACCGACGCACTCTTCGACGAGCTCGATGTGGAGATAGAGGCGGAGGAGGTCGGAGCGGAGCAGCCGGAGGTACCAGAGGAGGCGGAGCTGCAGCTGCCCCCCATGCTACCGGAGCCGGGCACGGAGATCGTCGACATCTCCGACGACGAGTAGCTAGTTGATCGACGTAGCACGTCGGTTTATTTTAGTTTGCATGTCTTTGTATGGATTTGAGGATCTAGTATGAGATGTCTGTATGCCACAAGTGAAATTTAAGGCGTGTCCGGTCACTGTCCGCGAACGCGCTCGCGGACGATTAAGGGGTCATATTTGTCATATGTGGCTGTAGATGCTCTTAGAAGGTCGGATGTGCCAAGTCGACTGTAGATGCTTCTAACATCATAATTTGAACGGGGAGAGGAGAACATTGGCAACAGAGTTTTTCTTTTTTGAACAGGAGCAACAGAGTTTGAAGGAGCGCAAAAAGGGGTCGCGCCCTTTGGTTGCGTCCTATGCTATACTGCTAAAATAATCCCGCGAACACGCGCCGGTGGACTTCTTAGTAGGAACACGCGCCAGGCAGACAGTCTGAACGGCTACGCCGTCCGATTATCCTATCCAGCAATTTGTCGCCGTCTAATACTTCTTCCGGATGAACTCATGCGCCGACTGATCCCGGTGCCCGCACGTCACACACGTTGGCCTGAGGATACTCAAAGATTCCCACGAGCGAGCTGTCAACGAGAGTTAAAAATTCCCACGTAAATCTCAACTGGCATTCGTAAATCTCAACAGCCACTATATATACGGCCGCACGGACCACGAGCCCACAGATCCCGCCCCGCCTCCTCCCCTCGCCTTGGCCGCCACCGCCGGCCGCCGCGCGTTCCGTGCCGGAGATCAGGTCGCTCCTCCTCCCTCCGGTCAGTGCTCTGCTCTCCCGTAACCCGCCTCTTCTTCTCTGAGTTCCTCGTCCCATCCCGGTCTCCATTCGTTTTTTCCTTGCAACCCGACGGCGACGGGGTCCAACCAACGAGGCCTGCTTGTACTCGACTGTCTTGGATTGGGTTTTTCTTTTTTCTTTTTGCAATTAATCCTAGTAGTTTGATTGGGGTTGGATGGGTTCTTGGGGATCGATTCTTTCTTTTCTCGGGCAGTGAGCAATCATAACCCGAATCAATGCGCTATTACTTGCCGATTTGGTTGCTGCGTGCTGTCCGTAGTCCACCCGTCATCGTTCCATCATGCTCGCACGAGGTCGATCTGCGTTGATGCCGTAATGGAGTTTCCAACGAAGCCCGCCGCTGAGACAAAGATGGAACGGCTATAATCCTGGCGGCGCTAAATCGGATTCATGGCGTGAATTGGTCGTTTCTTAGGTCCCGGGGCCTGGATTCCTGCTACAAGTGACCGGGGAATCTGTGCCTTGAAGGTTCAACTCCAGTTTTAGATACCTGCGGATTTAGACACTTCTATAAAGTCAGATAGCGGAATTAGTTTCTTGTTTTTTGTGAGAAACGAATTAGTTTCATGTTGTGTGCAAGTGTCTATCATCTTGCAATGAACTGTGTCGCGGAGCCAAAGTTTTGCTTGCGCAGACGTCTTTCTTTCTATGAACTCTGGCGAACGAAATCTTCAGGTGTTGAAACACCAGTTTCATGCCCTGTTTAGTCCTGATTTCTGAACCAGTTACATACAACTCTTTGCAGTACTGCCGCCTTTGGTTAGGCAGGTGAGCTCGGTTATCATGGGCCTCGAGGTAGCAGGTGGCGGGGAAGCTGCAGTTAAGGTACTTTCTTTCGTTCTGCGAGTTCATTTGATGGTTCTTGTAGTATATACTATTCTTAACTTTGATTTGATGATTTTTTACTGACTGCTGCTACTTTTGGTTGTGTTTGACAGGGGAAGTTCTGGGGTATAGTTGTCTGTTTTTTCTTGGGAAATGGAAGCCTATTTGCCTGGAACAGCATGCTTACCATCGAGGATTACTATGTCTCTCTGTTCCCGGTATGTGCTTGTTTGTGAAACTCAGTTGATCTTTTTTTATTGAAATCTGTATGCAAAAATGTGCCTCCTTCCTTTTCTCCGAATGTTGCAGTAGATTGTTTAATTGATGCTTTGAATGAAGCCAGTATTCAGTAGCATAATTCTAGCACTTCTTTTTATATAAGCTAAAAACCGTCCTTCTCGATTCGCTTGGAGTGTTTGGGTAAATTAAGAATTGTTAGTTTTACTCATTTTAATGACGCGGTTTATCATTTCTACCTTACACTGTCTAAACTTGTTGAACTGAGATGCCGATTTGATCCCTTCGTTTTGCAGAATTTGTTGTGTTTCAAACATTCAGATTTTATTACGTACAATGACATTTGACCTACGATATCTATCTGCAGAATTACCATCCGACAAGAGTTCTTACACTAGTATACCAGCCTTTTGCCTTTGGACTCACCTGCTTCTTTGCATACTATGAAGCAACGATGAACACGAGGAAGAGAAACCTAGCTGGTTTTGCACTTTTCTTCCTTAGCTCTTTCGCGTTAATATTGGTAAGTATATTGGGTATTGCCTTTTGCCTGGAAGGAAAAGAATAACATTGATGTGCCAGTATGGCAGCTCATGTAAATCATTTTTCTTATTGCAGCTGGACGTTGGTACTAAAGGACATGGTGGAATTCCAGCATACATTGGTGTATGCATAATCAGTGCCTTTTTTGGGACATCTGATGCGCTTGTTCAAGGTGGCTTGGTTGGCGACCTTTCTTTGATGTGCCCGGAGTTCATTCAGGTTACTTTTTGGTCTATAATTGTACTTTGTGATGTTTGGTTAACTTTTTCATGTCTCAGACTGAGAATAATTTACCTTTCATGACGTAAATCATCTATTGGAATTGCAGTCCTTCCTGTCAGGCTTGGCTGCATCAGGAGTTATAACATCAGCTTTGAGACTAATTACAAAGGCAGCTTTCGAGAACTCACAAAATGGTCTTCGAAATGGAGCTAGTACGTCGAAATCTCATCAACGTATATTATTATTTTTGGATAATGCGAGACATCTCTGCCAACCTATATGAGCACACAGCCCAATCTCATCAACAAATGCAGATTCAGTAAAATTGTGATAAAAATTTAAGAATAGCAGAATGCTATAAATCCACTATGATCATAACAGTCATCAGTGACAACGTGAAGAAATCCATTTCAGAACTTGCTCATATAACTTTCTACTAGAATGTTTAGGTGCTTGGTACAATCTTACTTGCAGATCTCCTAAAATATCGCACCATGCATGTGCATAACCAATTCATGTATGATTTTTTGTGCAGTGCTATTCTTCTCGGTAACATGCATGTTCGAGCTAGCTTGCCTCCTCCTATACGCATTTGTCTTTCCCAAATTACCCATCGTGAAGTACTACCGCCAAAAGGCAGCCTCTGAAGGGAGCAAGACTGTTGGCAGCGACCTTGCTGCTGCAGGAATCAAAACTGATCAAGATAGGCAGGTTTGTCTCTCTGATCATACCAATGCCTACAATGAATCTTCTACGACTTTGCCATGAGAATGAAATGTTGATATACTGATTCACAGGTTGAGGAGGATCCCCAAAAGCACGAACGTTTAAGCACCAAGGAGCTGCTGATGCAGAATATAGACTATGCTTTGGATATCTTCCTGATATATGTCTTGACTCTATCAATCTTCCCTGGATTTTTATCGGAAGATACTGGATCACATGGCCTGGGAACATGGTAATCTTTCTTGCACTTGTACCTGGCACCTACTTCTGCAGAATTTACCTGGGAGTATTGTCCAGTATCTGACATGTCATTGTTCTGATAAAATTCAGGTACGCACTTGTGCTGATCACGATGTACAATGTGTTAGATCTGATTGGTAGGTACATACCACTGATCAAATGCCTGAAGCTGACGAACCGGAAGGGCCTGATGGTCGCCATCTTGGCGCGCTTCCTGTTCATCCCTGCGTTCTACTTCACGGCCAAGTATGGCGACCAAGGGTACATGATCTTCCTCACGTCCTTTCTGGGACTGACCAATGGCTACCTCACCGTGTGCGTCCTCGCTGAAGCGCCAAATGGGTACAAGGCAAGTCTCCTTCCTCGCCGATTCAAACATCGTAATGCAGTGTTCAGAAAGAAAACGTTTGTTCCTTGTCGATGCAAACATCGTAGTACAGTAAATGTTTGTCATGAGGATCTGAGCTGTATGTTGAACATTATTTTTTTGGTTGTGCAGGGGCCGGAGCAGAACGCTCTGGGGAACGTGCTCGTGGTGTGCCTCCTCGGCGGCATATTCTCCGGCGTCGTGCTCGACTGGATGTGGCTGATAGGCAAGGGCTGGTAGTCGAGCACTCTCCGCTGTTCGGTCTGCGCGATTCGTTCGGTGTCGGGTGGGAAGCGCGCTAATGCTGGCGGTCTTTCTTGCTCCATAGGTAGATAGGTGGTTGCCGAAACAAGGATACTGCAGTACAGTGGTGTATTCCGAGTGGTTTCTCAAAAGAGATTTTAATGTTAATCTGTTCATGTTTGTAAATAACTTTGCTGTGACATGCGATGTATCCTTTCTAGCTTCCCTTTTATGTTTAGCCCCTAGGGCTGTCTTCCCCTGCTTACCATATTGGACGGCATATTCATGACTCGTTGAACCAAAACATCAAATTTATCTTAACCACAAGTCTGAAATAAATAGTGGAGTTAGGTCCAATTATAGTGCCACGATAAAGCGAGCTTATGTCATCTTAAAATATTAATGGTTGGTTCTAACCAGTGAGAGATAAAAGAAGAGAAACTAATAATTAAACTCACCAAACCTAAAACAACTCATTATCCAAGGCAATGTAACATTGAAAGGAGTTCTTTCTGCCAAGAACCAACCTTTTTCTGCTTCAACGGCTTTTAGATCTCGTCTCAAGGGGCGAGTGGCTATTGCGGTCTTCAAAGCCTTGTGTGACGAGGGCATTTGCAGGTCTTGCTTTTCTTTGCTGTTGGTTCAGTGCAATTTTCAATCACCGGCGGGCAGCGTACAATCAGAGGAAGAAGAAGACTAGTATGCTTTTTATTGTAATTTTATTTTTTACTGGTCGTTCTACGTCCAGTTGTCTATCCTTTGTACTGGCCTTTGTTTTCCTCGATGATAATCAGATTTAAGATGCCCTTTGGGTGTCTTTATT